ACAATAATAACAATAATAATAATGGTAATAATATCAATAATGATAATAATAATAATAATAATAATAATAATAATAATAATGATAATAATAATAATATGAAGAAGAAGAAGAAGAATAGTAATAATAATAATAGTTATTATTATTATCATTGCTATTATTATTATAATAATAATAATAATGATAATAATGATAATAACGATAATAATAACAATGATAATGATTCTAATAATAATGATGATAATGATAATGATGATAATAATAATCATAAATATTCTAATGAATAATAATAACAATAATAATAACAATAATAATAATAACAAATACAATAATGACAATAATTATAATAATAATAATAATAATAATAATAATAATAATAATAATAATAATAATAATAATAATGATAATAATAAAAACAACATTAATAACAACAATAACAACGATAGTAGTAAAGATGATAGTACTTGAAAAAATAACGATAATGATAATAATGATAGATATATTAATAGCATCAACAATAATAATGATAATAATAGTAATAATAATAATAATAATAATAATAATTATAATAATAATAATGATAATAATAATAATAATAATAATAATAATGATAATGATAATAATAATAATAATAATAATAATAATAATAATAATAATAATAATGATAATAATAACAATTACAATGATAATGATGCTAATGATAATGATGATAATGATAATGATGATAATAATAAGCATTAATATTCTAAGGAATAATAATAACAATAATAATAGCAATAATAATAATAATAATAATAATGATAATAATAATAATAATAATAATAATAATAATAATAATAATAATAACAATAATAATAATAACAATAATAATAATAATAACAATAATAACAAATATAATAATGATAATAATTACAATAATAATGATAATAATAATAATAATAATAATAATAATAATAATAATAATAATAAAAATAATAATAATAATAATAATAATAATAGTAATAATAAAAATAACGATAATAACAACAATAACAACGATAGTAGTAATGATGATAGTACTTGTAAAAATAACGATAATGATAATAATGATAAATATATTAATAGCAACAACAATAATAATGATAATAATAGTAATAATAACAATAATAATAATAATAATAATAATAATAACAATAATAATAATAATAATAGTAATAATAATAATAACAATGATAATAATAACAGTAATGATAATAGTGATAATAATGATAAATAATAATGATAATGATAATGATGATCACAAAAGCAACAGCAACAACAATAATTATTATAATTATGATAAACCAATAATAACTATGATATTGATAGTGAGGATGATAATCATAATAAGGAGAATGATAACAATATAGATAATAATAACAATAATAGTGACAAAATAGATAATGGAAAGCAATAAAGGGAATAATAATGATAATGATGGTGATGATAAAAATGATAATAACAGCAATAATGATGATAATAAAAAAATAATAAAGATATAGATAATGATAATAATGATAATAATAATAGATTAATAATAATAATAATCATGATAATAATAACAATAACAATGATAATTATACTTATGATAATACTACTACTTATGGTAACGATAATGATAATAATAGTCATAATAATGATGATGATGATGGTCATTATAACAACAACAACGACGACGAAGATGACAATATTAATGATAATAAAGATAATATTAGTAATACTATTACTAATATTATTGATAATGATGATGACAATGATAATGATAACAATGATAATGATAATAATGACAGGGATATAATAATAATGATAGTAATGACAGGGATATAATAATAATGATAGTAATGACAGGGATATAATAATAATGATAATGACAATAATAATAATAAAAATAGGAAGAACAGTAAAGAAAATACCGATAACAATATTGAATACAATAATGATAACGATAATATTCATTGTGCAACTAATAATAATCAAACGAATACTAATATGAATGATACGATGATTATGATACAATTAATAAGAATATCAGTAGACAAGGAGTAATAATGCAATGAGTAATAAAGAGATATCTTAAGGATTGTCCACCGCCGGATCCATTCTTTTTCGGTAAAATGACAAGTGACCGGGAAAAGATAGCAATTTGTACGCTCAAAGAAATATTTGACTCAAAATCTGACAGCAGCGAAAGTTTACACAGCGAATAGTAAGTTAGAGTGAGAAAACGAGTTACGTAAAACCGTTTCGCGAGGCCGCGTCATCGTCTTCCCCCAAACAGATAAGCCATGGAAGTATTTACGATCGTAGTGAGAGGTTCAGTCACCTGAACAACAAAGGTGTTTGTCGGTGAAATCTGCTGACGTCACCAGCCATAATAATCACCCCGGTGCTAAGCTGTTGTGTGCGCATGCGTCAGCCTACATGCCCGGATACCCCGCGCTGCCTGTCGCACAAAACACACACGTCAGTCAGCTAACACCCAGCA